CATCATCATAATTTGAGGTCTAAGGAAAATGAATTCGAGATAGGAGATGAGGTAGTAGTACTGATACCAACGTCAACAAATAAACTTTGCTCGAAATGGACAGGACCTGGAGAAATAGTTGCGAAAAAGTCTCCACATTCATATTTGGTAAAATTGCCAGATGAATCTGTTAGACATTTGCATCAAAATAAGTTACGGAAATATATACAGCCTATAAAATGCAGTAGGGATAATCTATGAGGCTGACACAGAATTTGGGAGGAGGTGCAGCACGCGCCTATTCAAAGAAACCCTAAAGTAGACAAACTTTTAGATAGGATCTGTGTTTCAGAGGAATGGAAACATTTAGATAGGTCACAAAGGGATCAGTTGAGCAGATTAATCAAATCTTTCCATGTAGTGTTTGACGGGGAGATTAAATGTGCGAAGGTAGGATCCCACAGTATCAGGTTAAAAACGGGAGTTGAAAGAAAGCAACCTCATGTTTATAAGGTACCTGAGGCGTTGAAGCCACAGGTGGAAAAGCAAATTGCTGATTTGTTAGAAAGAGGTTTAATTGAACCTTCCACAGCAGAGATTGCTTACCCTATTGTGTGTGTAGCGAAACGGGACGGAAGCGTACGTTTATGTTGTGATTATCGAGGGCTTAATGCGGAAAGTCAGATTGTCCCATTTCCTATGCAAAACGCAGAAGAGCTTCGATATAAGGCAGGGGCAGCACGTTATTTGTCTACGCTACGCTAGATATTCTTAAGGGGTATTGGGAAATCCCTATGGAGAAGGAAAGTAGACATCTGACGAGTTTTGTTTCTCCGAAGGGTCAGTATCAGTGGAAAGTGATGCCGTTCGGTTTGTCAGGTGCTGCCGCAACTTTCCAAAGAGTTATGAATCAAGCTCTTAGACCACATAGTGATTATGCTGAAAGTTTCATCGATGATATAATTGTCTATTCGTCAACGTGGGAAGAACATCTTAAACATTTAAGAGCCGTACTCAGTACTTTACAGACATTGAACTTTACGGCTAATTTAGAGAAATGCTCTTTTGGCAAGTCGGAGGTAAAGTATTTAGGTCACATAGTAGGCTCAGGCAGACATGGCCCAGATCCAGAGAAATTGCAGGTCATTAAAAATTTGAAGCCACCTAGAACCAAAAAGGCATTAAGATCAGTTTTGGGGTTATATAATTACTATCGAGAGTATGTTCCGAATTATGCAAAAGTAGCTAGGCCGTTAACTGATCTCACGAGAAAAATCTATACCTAATGATATACCTTGGGGGTCTGAAGCCGAGAAGGCATTCAAAGAATTAAAGGATGCATTGTGTGCACGGCATCGTCTTTATATACGCCGGATATACGGAAACCTTTTGAATTAACACAGCTCACAACAGGTTATGGTGCAGAAGAGAGGTATCAAAATAGACCGATAAAATCAGCCGATAACTCGGACGTAATTGAGAATGAAGAAAGAACTTTATGAAATTCTTAAAAAAAAAAGAAAAAAAAAAAAAAAAAAACAAGAAATAGGTTCTATTGGTCAAGGATTCTAGATAAACATTACCTTAAAGATAGCCAGCATATACACGTTTCAAAATTTTCCATATTTCGGTATTATGCAGGTGCTGGAATTGTTTCAAATTTTCCTTCTTTTTAGTACTTCATTCAATATAAAAAATATCAACAATGTACTCATTCATACTTATTGGTAAAGGAGCTGCCCCTTTTCAGCTGCTAAATTTATGAAAGGTGCATGTCATTTTCAAATCTTAATTTTCCTTTTTCAAGATGTCTGCAACACCCAGTTGTCAAGCCTACCGTTACTGGAGCATTATCGGCACCAGGTGCTAGGCAATTAACCAGAGGAATTGTATTTCCTTAAAAAGTTTTAATAATTAGTTGTGATATGTTAAAGCCTGTTGAATATCCTTCTAAAGTGGAAGTAAACTACACTTAAAGTAAACCATCCTTAATTTCTGGAGACACTAGATTGAAAAATGGAACAACAGTTGGATACAGTTTTGAATTAGTATTATTGCGTCCGTTTAAAGAAAGGCAGAATAGAACTGCTTTAATACAAGATTTATTTTTGATATCCATTTCTTTAACTAATGCAACCATTTTGGTCACTGCACTTGAGTATTTCCGAGCGAATTTGCAATCGGGAAACATTTTTCTAAATAAAGGTTGATCCGATGCATTCAGTGGCAGGTTGTGCTTGTGCTCCAGTAAAAAGGCAGAGAACAAGCATTGCACGTTACTTTGTACTTTTTGGTATTTTGTTTCCACAGAAAACTTCGATTTTTCATTTTTACTTCCTTTAACGAAGCAAGTATCCTAATCACAAAAAATTTCAGGTATAATATATCCATTTTGACTGCCATTGAATGCAATTTAGCTATGCTTTTTTGTGATATCTGGACGTAAGGACTCCCCCCCCAAATCACAAAACTTATTTAAAATGAATTCTGAAGAGATTTTTTCGTGGCATCTGTACATATGTATGTATCTTGCATAACTAAAAAACAAGTAGCCTCAGAACATTGAAATTTTGTTCGTAGGACTGCTATAACATGTAGATGTGCACCTCCCATTTCGGTTGCAATCGGCAACACAAAAAGTATATAAATATATGCATATATAAACTAATTCTTTTGAAAACAAAACACAAACATGCCTAGTATTTTCGCGCATTAAGCTGCAGAAAAATTATCATTAAAGACAAGGTAAGAAATTTAAAACATTTCCCACAAAGACCAGAAATTGAAATTCATAATTAATAATCAATTCATTAATGCACACTGCATTTTAAAATGTGAAAACCAAAACATTTGAAACAAGCAGACCCCCACTTTAAAGAATTAATGAAATTTAATATATATATCCACTCAGTTACTCGGCTCAGTGAGCTCAGTTTCTTTATTCTTATAGGTTTGTAAATTGTGCCTTTTTTGCTTTAAAAATGATTGAATTATGTTGTTCTGGTTAAGATTTTTATACCTTTAGTTAAACCTGCATACAATAATTGTGGAATCAACAACAATTTAAAAGTGCACGTAAGGCTAATTTTTTATTACTATGGCAGCTATGTATGTTTCCATTTCAAATTTTGCACAATAAAGGATTTGCTGCCAATCTACAGAAACTAAGCTTCACATCAACAAAGTAGCATCTTCTTTTATTGTTGGGAATTAAATTATGCTTAATTCATTCTGGAATTAACACCTAAGTTATTAGCTTGTTTCAGAATAGAAGCTATTATTTTAATTGCTTTAACTGTAGTTTATGTTTATCTGTAGCTTTCAAAGTCTAATGGACATATTTTTTATTTTTATGTATTTTTGCTTTGCCGCGAAGTGAGAATTGAATTAATTAGTGGCGCATGCGCATTAGAAATTTAGTGGGTAAGTGTAGGTAGGTAGTGGGAGCATAAGTAAGTGGGGCTCAATCATCTGCGAAAAACTTTCTTTTTTATTTCTTTAATTTCTTTATACATTGTTTTAGATTTATTATAGTATTTGAATAGAATTTATGGTAATTCTTCAGATGATATAAGTTTTGTGCACTCTGAATTATAAAATTAATGTTAATGCTGTTAAGTGAAAAATCGTTATGACAAAAGGTAATCATCGCAACTTGCATTCCTTTGAGGAAATAATAGAAGGAAAGTCATCTGTGCACAATTTTTGAAAAATACATGAGTATTTTGCCTTTTTGCAGACATAACTAAACTGAAAGATTGTAATTTCTTTTCTCAAAATCATAATTAACCACTTCTTAAAAGTACGTGAACTCACACCGCTCAGCGGTAAGATGAATGAAATAAACTTTATCTTGCTTTATGCTCCATGGCTAATGTATGCCAGATGACACGCAGTGGCACTTGATGTTCAATGGAGAACTAGAACACACTTTTTCGGACACATGCGCTCTCACTCACAAAGCTGAAGGGCACTTTAGTTTCTCACTCATGAAACGACTTTGGTTTTCTTTATAAAATATAGGGAAAAAATATGTGCTTTCAGATACCCAAAATCACTTTCTTTTTTGTGCAAATAATGAAGTATTAAGGCAAGCTACGTAAAAATCATGAGAAATTTTAAGAATAAGATAAAATCGGGAGAAACATGTTGTAAATCAGGTTGGCAACTGTGGGTATACACACCGTATGTTAATAAATACCACGTGCCACCGAATAGAAAGACAATAAAGATCGGCGGTTATCAGGAAAGAAAATCTGAACTACCACCTGCAACTTATGCCTAAGTATACAGCAACACATGCCCAGTGACATTTTAATGGGAAGGAATAAATCAGTTAGCAGAATGTAATGCTATGGCAGAAGGAAAAAACTGCTAATCTAAGTATGCTAGATAAAATTTCAATTGTTTAACAATAGCTTCAGCCGGCAATAATCGGTGCACTAAATACGGATTTAAAAGTCCCTAGTGATCTACTGGTAATCCAACAAAGGCAGATAATTACCACACGATGGCAATTCTTCAACTTTCAACGTGGAAACAAAATGTTGATTGTCAATCGTCCTGCCTTCTGACCGACTCTTTCCGATCTGCCAGTATTCTCTTCTTGCTTCAGTGCTGCTGCCGATGTTATGACTAATAAGCCAAGTTTAGCAAAAACCATTCAGAGAATAACAGTTGGATGAAAGCACTGGTATATCCTCAACCAATTCCTGGCCAGGATTTACTATTTGTGAGGGTACAGTAGCATCATATAACGTTATATTTTCTGGGATTTACTATTTGAGAGGGTACAGTAGAATCATATAACATTATATTTTCTGAGGATACACTAAATTCAAAAAGAAGATATTTATTCCAACTTACATTTACCTGGCCTATATCGTTTTGTTTCGTGCAAGCCGCGCACCTCGGTTTTTTTCGATTCAAATTATCAAATAATAATAATAATAAAAAACTGAGTGTTGTATTCGTGAACATACGGTATATCACAGGCCCATTAAACAAAGGAAAATACTTACCTTATAATCCATAACTATCCTATCCATGATACCTTTATCAAGCATCTTTTTATACCACTCCTGCAATCGCTTTGGTTTTGGAATTTTTTGTTCAGTAGGATGGCAGTGAAATATGTAATCATCACCTTCACTTGGTGGGCAAGCCCAAATATGTGCCATTGTGTACCTATAAATAAACTACCATTATACACAAGAAACAATGCAGAATTCTGAAAGCAAAGCCGATTTAAAAATAACAAAAACATAAAAATAATGTATGACATATAACCAATGTACACTTTTTGCAAAAAAAAAAAAAAAAAAAAAAAAAAAAAAAAAAGAAGCCTTGAGGAAGCGTGTTTTATGAATGTATGCTATACAGATACTAATATAAATCAGTCATAGTACATGTTTACGGCTCAAACACCCATTATGTTCAAATTAGTCGGCGTCGAACCAACCCGGTGGCAATCCATGCTGAATTCATCAGGAAGGATTGGTAGAGGTTCTAAAGTCTCCTGCGAACATTCCCCGGCTTTAACTGTTGCGCCGATCTGTGAATTTTGGGTGTGCTAAAATTGGCAGTCTACCATGTCCAAACATGCTTGATGGTGTACGTTTGGTGACTTGCGGCCAAGGAAGATATCAAAAACGCATGGACACAGTCCAGAATATTGAGTGGTTGTGCCTGGCATTTCCTGTTGGAAATGCCCCAAGATACGTGCATAAAGGTATGCAAGTCGCAGGATTTTATACATATGTTGAACTGTAAGACAGGATAACTAAATGACCTCTGTCATAGTAATAGTGCCCCACACCATCCCCAGGGTTAGCTTGTGTGCCTTTGTAAAACAAAGGCTGATTGGAACCACTGGCTCTGTCCTTTCACACGAACACGATGGTCATCTCTTCAAGTGAAGTGGGATTATCGCGGAACACTATAGGAGCAGTTGATGGCAGCCATGATGATCGCTCGACACCAATCCAGACAACTGCGCAGTGAGATGGTGGACAGTACCACGGGAGTTTTAGACGTGGCTGTAGTGCTTTGAATAGCCGTCAATGATACTGTTGGGCAGGTCGGGCCTGGCAAACAATCATCCGATCTTGCCTCGCATTTGTGCTCCTTGGCCTTCCAGAGCCTTCAATTTGTTGGTAATTTCCTTGTAGTAACCATTGCTGCCAACATCTTTGCACAGCAGCATCTGTACGCCACGGCCCATTGCTCGGTATGACCACCCAGCTTTACGCAACTTTACAATGCAACCACGTTCGAAGTCATTTAGTTGTCTGTAAGGTCTTCAATATCGTTGTAATGGCATCTTTAGTTGCTTCTTTACAGAATTATAATAGCAGCAATGAAAAAGATAAATTTTCTGCCTCTGTTATTGGTTTTATACTTTGTGAATTGAGCACTAGAAATGTGCGCTATTATCGCAATTCCTGTTCATTTGCACGTTCAATCAAGATGTTTTTGCATACCAAATTTTGTCACGATCGCGAAAGTCCTTCTTCGAGCTTCGAAATTTTTTTTGCAAAAGTCTTATTTCTTAACTAATAAAATTGAAACAAATAACAATAAATAGACTCAAAACTCAAGTTTTCAAGTATAAAACATTGGTATTCCCTAATAAGACCCAAAATGCTGTCCAACAGTGATAGTGCTTAGTGACTGCCATACTGAAGGCATGAACATTTGTAAATGTACGGCGTGTGCACAGCATAGATGCACTCTAAATATGCGGTGAGCCGAAATTGCTCGAGAGGTTGATGATAGAGGAAGACGGGTGTGAGACCCTTGGACCCATACCCCCGGAATGATCTCCACCAAGACTGAGTGCAGAACTGTGTGAAATCGCAATGTCAACTGTAGGGTGCTGAAGGCTCTTATCAACAGGTGCAATATCGCTATCCTCGCAATGATGAATTTTGTGAGCTTGTTTTGACGTTACAATCAGACAAGTGAGGTAAGTCACAACAGATGTAAAACATACCTAATAAATGATAGCAGTTACACATTAACATACATCAAACAGATTTTCCAAATTTTAAGAAATCTGGGCGAACAAATATGCCAGCAACTGACTTTCATTTACACCAGTTCGCTTTCTTTGAAATCATTCTCTAAAAATGCAGATACAACTGATAGGACATCATCAGATACAACAGATGCTCATTAATTAAAAAAGAAAATGCAAGAGCTAGTTTCTTAACTGCTCGTTTTTTAAACCCATTTCTTTTAAATCTGAAAATTTTTTAACACTGAAGACTACACCTAAAAACAATAAATAATAGCACCTGAACTAAAAGCCAGAATGAGAAGACTTGGCTATCTCAATCCCACCGACACAAAACACATGAGCCGGGATTCAGATGAAACAGGTGTTAGAAATTTTGTATAAATATGTCAATAATTTTAGTGAAATTGCATGTGAAACTTAGTATTTTGTTACATACTGTCACATGAAATGCTTGAAAGAGACAAAGTTCTGCTGGAAAAAAATGATTATACAAGTAAGTCTATTTAAGAGGGTAAAAATGGCGAGCAATCGCCAAACTGGTGATTTTTTTGATGCAAAATCACTTGCGACCTGGGACACTTGCAAAAAAAACTTGGCGACATTTTGCTCTGATCTCTGCATAACTGCAATTGGTAACCGCATCTGGCCTTCATATGCCTTCCAGTAATTTCAAAAAGAGAAAGTTACTAGAGATTTCTCAGCAGCCAGGGCAAGCTGAAAAACTAAGACACTAACATTAGATTAAACTAAGAAACTAATATTAGATTAGCGAGAGCATTAATGTCTTAGTTTTCCAGTTCAGAGCACTGAGATAGCTCAATGTGAGCTTAGCTCTTTGCATCACAGTGTTTAACGTTTTTAGCAGTTTGAAGTGCAACTACTGATTGTGCTCTGTTATACTGAGAACAATAACATACTATTATAAGTAATTCTCTGGAAACTTACAGAACTGTCTCTTTTTGCAAAATAAATATTATCCACCTATCATCTGTTCTGTGTGCATTCTATGCATTATGAACCTGTATACATACAGCACAGGTATTTTCAGGGTTCATACATATTTCTGCACACGGAAATGTACTTTTAAGGACCATAAAAAAAAAATAAGGACCTATGAGCAAATGGGAACTGAATAAATTCAATTAAATATATTATTCTATGCCTGATTTTCACTTTTGTAATACCATCCTAAAAATAAAATATATCCCGAAGTAGTATGCATTCTTACTAAACATGAATTAACTAACATAATTATTAATAAGTTTGAGGATAAAATAAACTTCATGCAGTTTATCAAGTAGCATTAAATATTTTACACTTATAATAGTTGGATATATTTGAAAGAAGATAAGTGACATTTACGTTTTACTAACAGTTAGCTTTATGTTGATTTTTTTTTTTTTTTTTTATTGTCTCATTTTGTCACATACTTGGTCAGTCTAGAGGTTTAGTAAATAGCACGGAGATTTTATATCAAACGGCATAAGTTAAAATGAGAAGTAAGATCATAATCAGCATGATTCATAACAACTGACTGAATGTTGTCCCTCTGCTGCTTGTCTAGAAAGAGACCTGCTGATTGGAACAAACCTGAAAAGCCTGATGTAGGCACGGTTGGCAAGTATTAAAAATTAATCAGGCTCTGCTTAATGCAGTTAATGTCATAGCTTTATGTAGAGTTCCAGAGGTTATAACTCAGTTAATATACTTTAAGGTTATATAATAAGCCATTAAAGCACCAGAGGGGATAAGTTGTTTTGCATATGTTATTTTAAGTCTCAATAGATGAAAAGAATAAATTTTACTTGAATTTTTACATTTTTGTGTTTTATCTTGTGACCAGAGTGAAAATTAATGAAAGGCAATAACTCGCTTTAATATGAAGAGATAATTTTTTAGGGTAAGTAGTTAGTTATAAATAATTAAATTAGGTAATTAGATAACCTTACTCATTATGGATTTACATGGCCACTATTAAATTTTATTTTTTAACAATATTTGTTAAAAAAAAGCCCTATTAAAATCAAAATCTAATAAAATTTCGCAGTTTAAAATACATGTAACTTATGACATAGATTCTTAAACGATATTAGGATAATGACACACTAAAAGCTACAAAACAGTTATGTTTTGTAACAACAACACTGAACAAAATATTTATCCATCATTTTAATTGAAGCCTATAAGGTATTTCTTCCACCTTCTTGGTGAGCCTTCGTGTAGTGGTTTGCACATTCAGCCGCTATTCCAGAGGTCAGCAGTTCGATTCCTGGCGAAAGCGTTGTTAATTTTTCATCTTTCCCGATTTTAAAAGTACCTAATGTCTCTACAATGGCGCCCGAACTAAAAGGGTGCTTGCTGGATGATGGTTCTCCACACCCAGGATTTGGCAATCGGATCCCCTAAAAACCACAGTCGCACTTTAAAAGGGGCAGTATATAAAGTATTTCATCCACCTTCTTGACGAGCCTTCGTGATGCAGTGGTTTGCACACTGGGCCAGTATTCCAGGGTTCCGTGATTCGATTCCCAGTGAAGATGGTGTTAATTTTTTATCTTTCCTCCTTTCAAAAATACCTAATATCTCCACAAGCCTTTGCAAACATTTTGGCTAATTTCTATCGATTTCCTTATCTTTAAGCATCTTTTCTGGCAATAATTAGAAATTTTCTCAATATATAAACCAGTGTTCTCACTAGTTTCTGTGTGCTTTATCTCCTAGCTTGTCAACCTCTCCACAATGTACCTATGACGGTTTACTTGATCTGGTAAAAGTTAAATAGTCTCAACCCCCCCGGCCCGAGTGATGTGAAGCAAATTATCAGTGTCTGAAAGTAACTACAATATCAGACAAAGGTTTAAATAAGCCTCTTATTTAGGAGAACTTAGAAAATAAAGGCATGTTCTGATGCAACAAAGTCAATTACAGCTCACGGTGACGCAATTAAACAAGAGCAGTCAAATTAAAACTAAAAATGTGTACTAGTGGTCAAAGATTATACAAGTTAATTTTAATTTAATGTGGCTCAGTAACTCTATCATATGAAGAAACAGAAATGGGAAGTTATAGTAAAGGCTGAAATGATAAACAATTGGGTAATTTACATAATAATTGCACATATCTTTGAAGAATAATTTTCTTTATGTGTTCAGTTTCTTCAACATGT